GTCTCTTGCTTGGCCTTAGGGAATTTATCTGTTTCTGAAGATTTGTTTGAATTGGGACGTGTTTCTAGAACGGTTTGAACCTTGTCATCCCATCTGTAAAACAGAACCCACCTGTGTCCCAGTGCGGTGTAGTCTCAGCTTGTTTCGAATTTTATATTTCTCTTGATCAGCCTTTCTAACTGGGATATAGTTTACATTCAACAAAATGCATTATTAGCTTTTGGTATCTTTAAAATAAAAACGTTGCTCTTGAACATCTGGCTTCTGAGATGGCATGGCTTTGCAAATTGGTAATATATTTCAACAAGGCATTTAAACAGCATACTTACATTCTGACATAATTATTTCTCTTTGAACAATATCCCAAGACATGATTCTTGCAAGACACGATAGCGATTGGGCACTTAGAATGAAAGTGGTGACGATGGCTTTTGGGGTCACCTTCAGGTCACAGAAGCCTGAAGGAGGTGAAGAATGGACCAATCCAAGGGATAATTAAAAAACAGAATTCATAGGAGTTGCTGACACCTTGGCTAAGGGAAATCAGGAGAGAATTTCCTGATTGTTATTAATTATCATTGTGTTGTGTGTCTAACCTGGGACCTTTCGAATGCTAAGGAAGAACTTTCCCTGAGCCACACCTCCAACCTGAGAAAAATTCCTATCCTGAGACTGCCGAAGTATCATTCCTTCCTTGCTGGCTAAGTGCCTGCAAGTCCAAGCTTCCATGGTTCCCTGCTTAGTTTTGCTCTATCAACTGTGCTAAATTTCTTACCCAAGAAAGTGAGTGCTCAGTGTGAATGGGGGCATGCAGGCCTACAAGATAAATCCTATAAAACGTCAGCGTGAAATGAATGGTATGTTTACCCCGAATTTTTGTCTTTGCTTTAAAAACCCAGTCTTTCAATCAAACCTTGAGGAGAGAGGAACCAACAAGCAGCACCAAGGACAGAAACAGACGCCGCGGCACAGTTTTGGCGTCCAGTCAGCACCAGGGACAGCGACCGCAAAGCAAGGTCCTTATAACCCCTCTTGGTGGCTCCCTTAACCTGGACTGCCTTGTAAGTGATGTAAGCAACCATCTGACCCCCCTACTAGTGGAAGTAAATGTCAGGTCCAGAGATTCGGAGTGTACCCGAGGATCAATCAGAACAGGAAGAGGATATTGAATCTCCAGATGTGTACACTGTTAAAACTTGTTCTTTATCCCATCCTCTCCTCTCCCTATCTCACATCCACAGAAATCAAGTGCAGGACTGGTAAGCCCTGAGGATTATGGGGCCACAAGTCTGCATTAGGATACCGACAAAATGGCAGAGGGAGAAATGCACAATTTCTAGGGTAGCTGGCTCATGGAAAACACTCTTATTGCAAATTGAAGAGTGTTCTACACACTGAGCTGCATTTGCTGTTTTGGTTATATTTCCTCCAATCAGACCTTGTGATAATAAACTTTTGTGTCTACTTGACTTGGCCATAGAGTGCTGAGATACTCCAGTAATATTAGTCAAATATTACTCTGGGTACTTCTAAGCAGTTTTTGGATGAGAGTAACATTAAAATTGGCTGAGTAAAACAATTGTCCTTCATTGTGTGGGTGAGTTTCGTTTAATCAGTTGAAGGCCTGAATAAAATAAAAGCATAATTCTTCCACAAGGAAGAGAGAATTATGCTACCTAGTAGCCTTTGATCTGGCACACAAGTTCTTCTTATCCAACAACATTTGGAGAAGGATATTAGTTTTGAAGACTAAGGAATTGCCAGAACCCATAATTGCAAGAAAATATATTCATGCATCGTGAATGTTCATGCATGAGAATGCGTGTGTGTGTGTGTGTGTGTGTGTGTGTGTGTGTGTGTGTGAGCCATCATTTCCCTACAATTTCTGGTTTTCAGAAAAATCTATAGACCCTGTTGGGAAGACTTGAGTGACATGGTCCAGACGGAGATGATGCCAAGAAGCGTCCGCAGAGCTCGGAGGAAGAAGGCAGATCAGATAGGAAGGACATATTAACAAGCAGATAGATACTGTGGGTGGCTGAGGGGCAACTGGTCCTCTTAGGAATGGTGTGGGAAAGAAATGATGTGGGGCTGGCTGTGGGGCTGGGAGGTTAATCCACTGCTTGCCCTTCTCGGTCATCAGGAATGGGTTGGGACATTATTTGCCACCCTTCAGATTGCTCTCATTTATGCTTCAGCAAGCTCCAAGGTGATGCAGTGACCCTGAGTCATGTGAGATGAGGGGCTGCCCTCCCCCTTACCCCTACTACCTCCAGCCTGTGAGGGAGCTGGCCCCTTTACTAGGTGTAACACTTAGGAAAGTGGCAGCACAGCAGAGCTGGCCCTGTTGACAAGGGCACAGGTGAACCAACCCTGAGAATATGAGCATGGACCTAGCCCCACCCCTCCTCTGCAATATGGAGGCATGGCTGGGAAAAGACGCCCACGCCCCTCACCCATCAACACCTGAGGCAGGTAGGAGAGCAGTCCCTGCCCACCAAGGGCTGCAACACTCTGGAGAGCATGCCCTGCATGTTGCCTGGGCAACACAATAGAGTCTACTCAGTTGGTGGAGGTATGGGTGAGCCAGTCCCAATGTTGTGAGCAAGGGAGAGCTGTCCCCATTACTCACCTGTCTTGTGGCAGCATGGGTGGAGGAGATATGCTCTGCACCACCTCCAACCCCCTGTCCATCAAAAACTGAGTCAGGTAGAGGAGCTGGCCTTGGGGCCATAAGAGCTGGAGGGCTGTCACTGCCTCACAGCAGCTATAGCACTGGGGACTGTGGCCCCTATACATCACCTAGGCAACACAGTAAAGGTGGTACTGATGGTATAGGTCATGGAGAACTGACTCTGAGGATGTGAAAGCTGGAGAACTGGCCCCACCCTTTTCTCATTGCTGCAAGGGTGAATTAGCCAGGGCAATGCTGGAGAACTCATGCTGGTGGTGAGGACAGGGGATGGGGAGAATGTTCCAGCTGACCAGCCCTGCAGCTACCCAGGCCCCAAACCAGAGTTATCAATTGGCCCATCCCAAAATTTACCCCATCTATGATCTGCTGGAATACATGAAGGGACCTAACCCACAGACCCAAAGCTGCAGGATCGCCACAACACACGGCAACAACGGGATACGCAAGAGGAGTCCTAGTGAGAGCCCAGCACCAAGACTGTAGCAGAAACCAGGACCTTCAAACCAGACCAATGACACTTTGCAATAAACACTTGCTAGTAAAGATTTGTGGACAAAGGGGTTTACTGCGTGACTCGCTGTGTCACACTGAAGGTTCTATGATGAGATTTTTATTTTTTTCCTTTTTTTCTCTTAAATTTTGTTTTTAATGGGGGCACAGGGTAGGGGTAGAGGTCAGATGCAAAGGGACAGGGAAACAAATAGAATCAAGATGCATGCTGTGGCCGGGCGGTGGTGGCACACACCTTTAGTCCCAGCACTTGGGAGGCAGAGGCAGGTGGATCTCTGTGAGTTCGAGACCAGCCTGGTCTACAGGAGCTAGTTCCAGGACAGCCTCCAAAGCCACAGAGAAACCCTGTCTCAAAATATCTCCCCACAAAAAGATGCATGTTGTGAAAGATGCATTGAATACATAAAAATAAAGTTTTAAAAAATGTCCTTTGTCCTTTTGTGGAAGGATGTTGGTGGCCTCAGTCTTGTGCAGGCAATCACACACAGCTACAGTGAGGGCAACAGCCTTGTCATATTCAGAAGTCAGCATCCCACAATATGTCATCCCGTTGTTGGCGCCCACATTCTTCCACCCTTTCGCTGGCTCACACATTCTTTCTGCCCTCTCTTTCACAATGTTTCCTTGGCCTTTGAGGGCGGGATGTAGAAGTCCCATTTAGGGTTTAGCATTCAATGGTCACTCATTCTCAACACAAGGACCAGTTATGAGTCTTTGCAGTGTCACCCACTGCAAAAAGAAGCTTGTCTGAGCAGAGCCGACAGGAGCAGTAATAAATAACAACAAATGTAAATATTTAGAAAGCAGTTTTTGGGGCACATAATGTCTATTGAGAAAACAATAGCAGTAGCTGCTGTGGAATAAACCTTCCTTTTTAAATAGACAAAGAGGGAGAAATGCTGTGGAACAATCCTTTAGTACACTATGAATATATATTACTCTCATAGGCTAATGAAAGC